AGGTCTGGTTACTTATTTGCTTTGGGTAAGGAAAATTTATTGAAACTCAGCTTATATCAATTCAATTTCACAGAAACACATGCCATGCAATGAAATGACCCTTTAGTAAAAGACGGAATAGGACATTCTCCTTGAGATCTTGAATATGTTTTTCAGAGGTGTAAATCCATATCTATATTATAGGTTTTCTCCTTTTGTAGTACCATAACACACTAACTTAGAAATAAGTCAACCCAATGTGCACTTAAAAATAGTAATAGTGAAGCCAAATTTCTTCTTCTCTGACATGATCATTATCATCTGTTTGTTCCAGCCATTTCAAATGTTAAATCTAAGGTTAACGTAGAAATTGTTGTTAAAAAGGCAGAGTGATGTATGGATTCAGTGATTCCTGTTACACAGTCAACTCTAAAATATCACCTGCTTTCACACTCAAGAATTCCTACCAACCTTGTTCTCCATAACTCTGTTTAAGAACAAATGATATCTACTATCTTTTATTATATTTACACCTAACAAATGTTTTAGCTTATTTTTTTTCTTGTCACATAATTGATATGAATTTGACTGCAATATCAGTCTTTTTACTTCATTTTGTTTGAATGATAAAAATACACTGAAAACCCCTGAATCATGCTAGCTATAAATACAATATGAATCAATGACTATGATTTTCTAATAATAAAATGTGAAATATTGTAAATCACCTTGAGATTTCCTTTTTACCTGAATAGGGAAGTAAACCAGTGGATTTTATAGTGAATGAAAGTTTTATAGAAAGAACACAGATGAGTTGTAACCTTTGAAGTCGGTACATTCTGGAGCACAAATGGGAGTTTGAAATATCTGGGTTCTAGATTCAAAACTTAACTTTTCAGAAGTGCTGACTTAAATGATATATATTAGTATTTCTAGTGCTTCATAACAATGTAACACAAATGAAGTGGCATAAACAGCAGAAAGTTGTTATCTCACAAGAGGCCAGAAATCTGAAATTAAGATGAGAACATACCTGGTCCCTTCTGAGGACTGTCAGAGTGAGTCTGTCTGTTCCATGTCTGTTTTCCTAGCTTCTAGTGGGTTGATAATTGTTGCCATTTCTTGACTTGTGGAAACATCCCTCAATGTCTGCCTTCATCTTGACATGGTATTTTCCCTGTGTGTGTTTGTCTGTACTAAAATTTCCTCTTTTTATAAGGACACCAGTCATATTGGAATACAGCCTATCCTAATGACCTAACTTAAAATAATTATATCTGCAGTGATCCTATATCTAAAGTCACATTCTGAAGTACTGATAGGACTTCAACATGTAAATTTTGAGGAGGGATGGGCACAAATCAACTCACAGTGTCATGTGCAGTGAGAAATATTGCTGTGGTCATCTTTGAAGAGTACAATCTAACAAGAAGATTTTATTTGATCCAAATGAGGTATAAAGCAAAGCCATAGCCATGGATTATATGCTAAATTTTATGTGTCTAGTCCACATGTATTTATTAAGTGTCATATACTTAATAAGCTCTGTTAGGAGTTATCAGGTTCTAATAAAAAGTAATGCATAGTACTTGTCCTCATGAAGTGCCCAATCCAATGAAACATAAAATATGAGTGTAAACATTTTTAAAGAATTTTTTTTCATGCTAAAAGTCTGTAGACATTCAGTGACTGGACTTAGAGATCAGTCAGTTCACAAGATCTAGTTGAATCTTGAGGAATTGGAGCCAGTTCAATTCATGGAAGAGTTCTTGCATAAGACGAAAGCAAATAGAGCTAAATTGTTTCTCTGGAGGGACATAAAAGATAAGACAGCTATGCAAATGGGCATATAAAAGAAGGATACAAAATATCAGTGAGAAGGATAGAGAAGGATCCTTGAAGATGTCAGCATTTGAGTTTAGCTTGGGAAATGCAGAAGATCTGAAATACAGAAAAGAAAGATAAGTTTATGATTTTCTGTATCAGGCATATTACAGAAATATTCTGTAGTCTAAGGTGCTAAGGGTATATAATGTGTTTAGTAAAGGGTGAAAAATAAGAATAGAAAAAGTAAATAGAGTCACAAAGTAATGAGCCTTAGACTTTTCCAAAGAATGAAGTAGAAAAAATAACTAGAAGCAATCTGGAGTCCTTTTAGTGTTTGGTATTCTTGTTTATTTTTAATTACATCAAACTACCTTCTCCACCAGTAGTATCCTTATCAAAATGTTCCCCAAAGCATCATATTTCTTAAAGAACAACTGTTGAGCATCTTTCTTCTTGGATTTTTTCTTATTTTTTCTCTGATATTTCTTTAGTGGTTCAGATTAAAAACAAATACTGTTATCCATACTGTCATGCATTTTAATATAGAAATCACTCATACAAATAATGTAAATTGAAACATGTTCAGTCTTCTACCCAACTTTCACGGTTTCAACCATTCTATATTATTGAATACTCATACGTCCATAAGGATATCTTGACTATTCTGTGTGACGCAGGGTCATCTTACATAGACACTAAACTAAATGAGGGTACCAATGGCAATCTGCATATCAAATATTGTAACTGGATAGACATGTCTGTTATATTGTAAATCATACATAATTATATAAAAATGGATGTATCTTCTATTAAATACTACACACACATATTTTCAAATTACTAAGCTTAATTTCTTCTTTATTTTTAGATATAGTATAAATTTTTACACAAATTCTAGGATTTTCTTCATGTGCTCCTCTGGATAATATTCCAAACTCTTAGGAGTGCATTAATCTCACTTGGGAGATAACTAGAGTAAACCTATGAAAATATAAAGCCCCATACTCAGTGAGATGCCAGTTTTGAAAACTCTTTTGAAAAGTCTCATTGGGTAAGCATATATTCTTTGTGAGGAATATTGGCTAGTTTTGGCATGAAACAACAACAATTAACAATATGAACATCAAAAATTGAATTTTGGTTCTCAAAACATACTTTTTTGTTTTGTTTTGTTTTTTGAGACCGAGTTTTGCTCTTGTTACCCAGGCTGGAGTGCAATGGTGTGATCTTGGCTCACCGCAGCCTCTGCCTCCTGGGTTCAAGCAATTCTCCTGCCTTAGCCTCCCGAGTAGCTGGGACTACAGGTGCACTCCACCATGCCCAGCTAATTTTTGTATTCTTAGTAGAGATGGGGTTTCACCATGTTGACCAGGATGGTCTCGAGCTCTTGACCTCGTGACCCACCTGCCTCAGCCTCCCAAAGTGCTGGGATTATAGGCGTGAGCCCGGCCAGGATTTTTTTTTTTTTAAGTAGATTTCCTTAAGTTCCTTGTAAATTCTGGATATTAGCCTTTGTCAGATGGGTAGATTGCAAAAATTTTCTCCCATTCTGTAGGTTGCCTGTTCACTCTAATGAGAGTTTCTTTTTCTTTAGTTTAAGTAGATCCCATTTGTCAATTTTGGCTTTTGTTGCAGTTGCTTTTGGTGTTGTAGTCATCAAGTCTTTGCCCATGCCTGTGCTGAACAGTACTGCCTAGGTTTCCTTCTAGGGATTTTATGGTTTTAAATCTTATGTTTAAGTCTTTAATGCATCTTCAGTAAATTTCTGTATAATGTGAAAGGAAGGGGTCCAGTTTGAGTTTTCTGCATATGACTAGTCAGTGTTCCCAACACCATTTATTATAAATAGAAAATCCTTTCCTTATTACTTCCTGTTGCCAGGAAACTCGTCATTCAAATCTGAGCGAGTGGGGCGAGTGCAAAGACGGGCGTGAGTGACAGATCGGCGCAGGAAGGGCAACCTTACAGGATCCCCGTGACAAGGTATGCGCGCCAGACACCCGCTGACAATACGGAGTCGGGGGCAAAATATGTACACGAGGTACCTGCAAGCAATGGCGGCGGGGGAGGGAGCGGGGTAGAAGGGGCGCCTGATAGGTACTGGAAGGAGAGGCACGCGCACAAAGGACACCAGTCGTCAATGGTTTGGCCGACAAGGTTCGCGCACAAGGCACCTGATGGCAATGGAAGGGGCGGCGCGCGCGCGCGGTGTACTGTAGGGAGAGGCGTGCGCACTAAGGACCTGGGACCTTAACGGATCGGTGCGGCAAGGTACTCGCACAAGGCAGCTACTGACAACCGTGGGATTGGGGGCGGGGTAGGGAGGTGCGTGCGCTAAGTACTGGAGGGAGAGGCGAGCACAAAGGGCTCGGAATCTTAATGGATTGGCGTGGCAAGGCACGCGCACAAGGCAACTGCTGGCAAGGACGGGAAAAGGGGGGTCCAGGGCCGGGCGCGAAAAATAGGTACTGGAGACAGAGGCGCCCTCACAAAGGACCCGGGACCTTAAGGGATTGGTGAGGCAAAGTATGCGCAAAAGGCACCTGCTGGCAATGGGGGTCGGGGGAGAGTCGAGGCGGGAGGAGAGGGGCCCAACGTCGACCAGATATCTCAGACTACAAGTGTGGGACACCACACCCGGCCAATGTTTTGTATTGTTGGCCTTGGCCCCAAGTGTGCCCAGGTGCTGATGGAGCACCTGGGGTGTGTGAGCCCTGCCGCCAGGGCCTGGCTGGGGTTGCGCCAGGAGCTGTCCATGGCTCTGAAACGATGCCGGCTGAGGCGCCGGCTGTGAATGAGCGAGTGAGCGCTGTCCGTAGTGCTGCAGAGGTCTTGGGCCCCGGCAGTGGCGGCAGCGGTGCCTAGGAGGCCGGCAGCTGGAAGACCACCAGGAATGCTTCTTGGAGGAAGTAACCCTTGAGGTGGGGAGGGTTTTCCAGGAAGGGAGACGATAGCATGAGCAAAAGCTTAGAGATACTAATAATCGTAGACTGATAATCATGGCCTGGTGCGCGCGCCTTTTCACGCCAATCCATTAAGATGCCGAGCCCTTAGTGCTCGCCTCTCCCTCCAGACCTAGCGCGCGCGCCGCTCCCTACCCCGCCCCCAATCCCACGGTTGTCAGTAGCTGCCTTGAGCGCGTACCTTGCCGCGCCCATCCGTTAAGTTCCCAGGTCCTTAGTGCGCGCGCCTCTCCCTACAGTACACCGCGCGCGCGCGCCGCCCCTTCCATTGCCATCAGGTGCCTTGTGCGCGAACCTTGCCGGCCAAACCGTTAACGTCTGCCGTACTTTGTGCACGCGCCTCTCCTTGCAGTACCTATCAGGCGCCCCTTCTATCCCACTCCCTCCCTCGCCGCCATTGCTCGCAGGACGCTCAGAGTCCAGCTGTCAAGAGTTCAACAATCCGAAAATAGACACTGCGCCCAGCAGCGGTTACCTGGGCACTCTGTGCCCTTTATCCCTGTCCCGGTCCCTTCCTGGGGCTGAGGACCCAGCAGTAGGACTCAGTTTCCTTGAGCCTGCTGCCCGCATCCCTCACTTCATTGGCTTGCGGGATCTCTCCGTTGCTCCTGCCCCTTGACGGAGTGGCAAGCCTTCCTACCCAGACACTTGTAATCAGCCTGGTGTTGAAACAACTCCAAGGATTTACTCTTCAAACCCTGTCTTCTGTACGGCGATCCTGCCTTCAATTTGAGGCCCAGGTACCACAGCAAGCCAGTGCCCTAAGGACTCTCAGAGAGGCCCTGGAGAAGGTAATCGCCTTTTTGTGGCCCAGAACACCCAGCTCTACCCTACACTCCCATCCAGAGATCATGTAGAGGCCCCTCATGGGGAGTGGGGCAGGGACACTTAAGCAGGAAAAAAAAACCCAGAGTTCAAGAAAAGCCCGATGATCAGAAAGGGGGCCCTGAGGGCACCAGGGATGCAGGGTCTGCATTTTGACCCCTGCGGGACAGTGGAGGCCTCTCTCCCTTTGTACCCAGGCCTGGGCCCCTGCAGAGAGACCTCCATACCCAGAGGTCAAAAATGCCATCTGAAAAGAAATCCCAGCCATCCGGGATGAGCTACTGCCGCAACTCCATCTCCAGCTCCTACAGCTCCGCGGGAGGCTTCCCGTGGGTAAAGAGGGGGAAGGGGCCAGCCTCATCCAACTGCCAGCTGCCCCTCACTTCTTCAAAGGCAGTGACTGAGGTCAACCCTCAGGCTGTCTCTCAGGGTCAGGCCCAGTCTGAAAAGGCAGCAGATTCAGCACCTGGGGAGAAACTGGCTTCCAGGAGTGGCTCCCCGACATCTCAGGCCTCTAGGCCTCATAGACGAAAGCACCCTCTGCTACGACGCAGGCGAGGGGAGCCTCTGAGGCTGCCATCTCCCCTACAGCTGGGGTTTCGGGTCACTGCTGAAGACCTGGACCTGGAGATAAAGGCCGAAATCATGTGCCTTAATTGTGCACTGCAGGGTGAGGAAAAGTCCCTCTGGGAGTGCAGAGCCTCACTGCTGTCCCATGCTTTGGGACTGGCAACAGGGACGTCTTCTCTGCCTGCTGTCTCTAAAGCATCCAGCACAGAGGCACAGCAGGAGAGACGCAAGTCCCATGATGGCCTGGACCCCGTGGCCCTCCAAGTATCTGCTGCAGGGTCCCCCTCCAGACCTCCTGTGTCTGGGAGGAACTGCAGGTCAGCAGGTCCCCTGTTATCCTCCTCAGACACCCTTCCTGCCACCTCTGCACATTCCCAGGCCTCAGCCCAGGCCTCCTTGTCTGCTCCAACACAGCCAGACCAGGGAACTACAACACACTTAGCTGCAGGGGCTTCCTTACCCACCACTTCCACCTCAAGCCCCCGCACCAAAAGAAAGTCGACCTGGGCTGCAGACCTGGCTGGGAGCCTTCCTGACCCATCTTCTGCCTCTCCCACCACCACCCTGGCCAGACAGAGGGTCAGTGATTTCACCGTACTACAGAAACTTGATGGTGTTGCTGCAGCCATTACCCAACCCAAACCTGTGGTCTTTCATGGACAGCAGCAAGGAACCCGCACCTTGAAGCGGTTTCATCCATATTTCTGCCCAGCTGCTTCAGGTGCAGCCCAGGCCTCATCTTCTGCTCCAACACAGCCAGCACAGGGAACCACAGCACCCTCAGCTGCAGGGGTTACCTTACCCACCACTTCCACCTCGAGCCTGGCTGGGACACTTTCTAACCCATCTTCTGCCTCTCACACCACCACCCTGGCCAGACAGAGGGTCAGTGATTTCACTGTACTACAGAAACTTGATGCTATCGCCACAGCCATCACCCAGCCCAAACCTGTGGTCCTTCATGGACAGCAGCAGGGAACCCGCAACTTGAAGCAGCCTCATCCATCTTCCCATCCAGCTGCTTCAGCTGCAGCCCAGGCCTCATCTTCTGCTCCAACACAGCCAGCCCAGGGCACCACAGTGCCCTCAGCTGCAGGGGTTTCCTTACCCACCACTTCCACCTGGAGCCTGGCTGGGACACTTTCTAACCCATCTTCTGCCTCTCTTATCACCACCCAGGCCAGACTGACGATCAGTGGTCCCACCTCACTACCAAAAGTTGTCGTGACTGCTGCAGCCACCACCCAGCCAAAACCTGTGGTCCTTCATGGACAGCAGCAGGGAACCCGCTCCTTGAAGCAGCCTCATCCGTCTTCCCATCCAGCTGCTTCAGCTGCAGCCCTGGCCTCATCCTCAGCTCCAACACAGCCAGCCCAGGGCACCACAGCACCCCCAGCTGCAGGGGCTTCCTTACCCACCACTTTCACCTGGAGCCTGGCTGGGACACTTTCTAACCCATCTTCTTACTCTCTTATCACCGCTATGGCAAGACTAACGATCAGTGGTCCCACCTCACTACCTAAAGTTGCCGTGACCACTGCAGCCACCACCCAGCCCAAACCTGTGGTCCCTCATGGACAGCAGCAGGGAACCCGCTCCTTGAAGCAGCCTCATCCATCTTCCCGTCCAGCTGCTTCAGCTGCATCCCTGGCCTCATCTTCTGCTTCAACACAGACAGCCCAGGGCACCACAGTGCCCTCAGCTGCAGTGGTTTCCTTACCCACCACTTCCACCTGGAGCCTGGCTGGGACACTTTCTAAGCCATCTTCTGACTCTCTCATCACTGCCATGGCCAGACTAACGATCAGTGGTCCCACCTCACTACCGAAAGTTGCCTTGACCGCTGCAGCCACCACCCAGACAAAACCTGTAGTCTTTCATGGACAGCAGCAGGGAACCCACTCCTTGAAGCAGCCTCATCCAGCTGCTTCAGCTGCAGCCCAGGCCTCATCTTCTGCTCCAACACAGCCAGCCCAGGGCACCACAGCACCCTCAGCTGCAGGGGCTTCCTTACCCACCACTTCCACCTGGAGCCTGGCTGGGACACTTTCTAACCCATCTTCTGCCTCTCTCATCACCACCCAGGCCAGACTAACAATCAGTGGTCCCACCTCACTACCGAAAGTTGCCTTGACCGCTGCAGCCACCACCCAGCCCAAAGCTGTGGTCCTTCATGGACAGCAGCAGGGAACCCATGGCTTGAAGCGGGCTCGTCCGTATTCAGATCCAGCTGCTTTAGCCTTGAGCTCCCCCACCAAAAGAAAGTTGACCTGGGCTGCAGGCCTGGCTGGGACCCATTCTAAGCCATCTTCTAACTCTCTCATTACCACCGTGGCCAGACTGACGATCAGTGGTCACACCTCACTACCAAAAGTTGCCTTGACCGCTGCAGCCACCATCCAGCCCAAACCTGCAGTCCTTCATGGACAGCAGCAGGGAACCCGCGGCTTGAAGCGGGCTCGTCCGTATTCAGATCCAGCCGCTTTAGCCTTGAGCCCCCCAACCAAAAGAAAGTTGACCTGGGCTGCAGGCCTGGCTGGGACCCTTTCTAACCCATATTCTGCCTCTCTCATCAACGCCCCGGCCAGACCAAGGGTCAGTGGTCACACCTCACTACGGAAACTTGCCGTTATGGCTGCAGCCATCACTCAGCCCAAACCTGCGGTCCTTCATGGACAGCAGCAGGGAACCCACGGCTTGAAGCGGGATCGTTCATATTCAGATCCAGCCGCTTTAGCCTTGAGCCCCCCAACCAAAAGAAAGTTGACCTGGGCTGCAGGCCTGGCTGGGACCCTTTCTAGCCCATCTTCTGCCTCTCTCATCAATGCCCTGGCCAGACCGAGGGTCAGTGGTCGCACCTCACTACGGAAACTTGCCGTTATGGCTGCAGCCATCACTCAGCCCAAACCTGCGGTCCTTCATGGACAGCAGCAGGGAACCCACGGCTTGAAGCGGGATCGTTCATATTCAGATCCAGCCTCTTTAGCCTTGAGACCCACCCCCCACCAAAACAAAGTTGGTGCCAGGCTATCCCAGGCAAATTCTAGGCCAGGCTATCCCAGGCAAGGCAAGGCAAGGCTATTCCAGGCAATGCCAGGCAAGGCAAGGCAAGGCAAGAAACAGCAATGCAATCCCAGGCAATGCAAGGCAATCCCAGGAAAGGCAATTACAGGAAAGGCAATTTCAGGCAAGGCAAGGCAAGACAAGGCAGGAAAAGGAAATTCAAGGCAAGGCAATTGCAGGTAAAACAAGGCAAGGTAATTCCAGGGAAGGTAACTCCAGGCAAGGCAAGGCAAGGCAATTCCAGGCAAGACAAGGCATGGCTATTCCAGGCAATGCAAGTCAAGGAAAGGCAAAATAATCCTGGCAAGGCAAGGCAAGGCAAAGCAAGGCAATGCAATCCCAGCAAAGGCAATCACAGGAAAGGCAATTTCAGAGAAGGCAAGGCAAGACAAGGCATGGAAAGAAAATTAGATGCTAGGCAATTGTAGGTAAAACAAGGCAAGGTAACTTCATGGAAGGTAACTCCAGGCAAGGCAAGGCAAGGCAGTTCCAGGCAAGACAAGGCAAGGCTATTCCAGGCAAGGCAATTTCAGGCAATGCAAGGAAAGGAAAGGCTAAAATTTCCAGGCAAGGCAAGGCAAGGCAGGGAAGGGCAGGGCTGGGCAGGGCAGGGAAGGGCAGGGAAAGGTAAGGGAAGGCAAGGCAAAAGGCAAAAGGTAAAAGGCGGCAAAAGGCAAAAAAGGCAAAAGGCAAGGCAAGGCAAAAGGCAAAAGGCAAGGTAAGGCAAGGCAAGGCAAGGCAAGTCCAATTGAGGCAACTCAAATTCAGACAAAGCAAGACAATTCCACAGAAGGCAATCCAAGGCAAGGCAAGGCAATGCAAGGCAAGCCAATTTCAGGTAAGGCAAAGAAAGGCAATTCCAGGCAAGTCAATTCGAGGCAAGGCAATTCCAGGCAATGCAAGGCAAGGCAAGAGAAGGCAATGCCAGGCAAGGCAAGGCAATGCAATCCCAGGTGGTGCAATGCAATCCCAGGCAAGGAAATTACAGGAAAGGCAATCTCAGGCAAAGCAAGGCAAGACAAGGCAAAGAAAGAAAATTCAAGGCAAGGCAATTGAAGGTAAGGCAAGGCAAGGTAATTCCAGGGAAGGTAACTCCAAGCAAGGCAAGGTAAGGCAAGGCAATTCCAGGCAAGACAAGGCAAGGCTATTCCAGTCAAGGCAATTCCAGGCAATGCAAGTCAAGGCAAAGCAAGGAAAGGCAAGGCAAGGCTAGGCAATGCAATCCCAGGCAAGGCAATCACAGGAAAGGCAATTTCAGGCAAGGCAAGGCAAGACAAGGCAGGAAAAGGAAATTCGAGGCAAGGCAATTGCAGGTAAGGCAAGGCAAGGTAATTTCAGGAAAGTTAACGCCAGGCAAGACAAGACAAGGCAAGGCAAGGCAAAAGGTAAGGAAAGGCAATCCCAGGCAAGGCAAGGAAATCCAAGGCAATCCCAGACAAGGCAATCCCAGGGAAGGCAATCCCAGGCAAGGCAGGGAAGGGAAGGGTGCGGCAGGACGGGGCAGGGTGGGGCAGGGCAGGGCAGAGAAGGGCAAGGCAAGGTGGCAAGGCAAAAGGCAGCAAGGCAAAAGGCATCAAGGCAAAAGGTAGCAAAGGCAGCAAGGCAAAAGGCGGCAAAGGGCAGCAAGGCAAAAGAAAGAAGAAGAAGGCAAAGGCAGGCAAGGCAAAAGAAAGAAGAAGAAGGCAGGCAAGGCCAAAGAAAGAAGAAGAAGGCAGGCAAGGCAAAAGAAAGAAGAAGTTGGCAAAGGCAGGCAAGGCAAAAGAAAGAAGAAGGCAAAGGCAGGCAAGGCAAAAGAAAGAAGAAGAAGGCAAAGGCAGGCAAGGCAAAAGAAAGAAGAAGAAGGCAAAGGCAGGCAAGGCAAAAGAAGAAAAGAAGGAAGGAAGGCAAGGCAAAAGAAAAGAAGAAAGGCAAGGCAAGGTAAAAGAAGGCAAGGCAAGGTAAAAGAAGACAAGGCAAAAGAAGGCAAGGTAAAAGAAGACAAGGCAAAGAAGGCAAGGCAAAAGAAGGAAGGCAAGGCAAAAGAAGGAAGGCAAGGCAAAAGAAGGCAAGGCAAAAGGCAAGGCAATGCAAAAGGCAAGGCAAGGCAATTCAAGGCAAGGCAACTCAATTTCTGGCAAAGCAAGACAATTCCAGGGAAAGCAATTCAAGGCAAGGCAAGGCAATGCAAGGCAAGGCAATTCCAGGCAAGGGAAGTCAAGGCAAGGCAATTTAAAATAAGGCAATTTCAGTCATGGAAAGGCAAGACAAGGCAATTTCAGGCAAGACTATTCCAGGAGAGTCAAGGCAGGGCAATTCCAGGCAAGGAAAAGCAAGGCAATGCAATGCAATTCCAGGCACGCCAATTCCAGGTAAGGCAAGTCAAGGATATTCCAGGCAAGTCAATTTGAGGCAAGGCAATTCTAGGCAATGCAATACAAGGCAAGAGAAGGCAATACCAGGCAAGGCAAGGCAAGGCAATGCAATCCCAGGCGAGGCAATGCAATCTCAGGTAAGGCAATTACAGGAAAGGCAATGCCAGGCAAGGCAAGGCAAGACAAGGCAGGGAAAGGAAATTCGATGCAAGGCAATTGCAGGTAAGGCAAGGCAAGGTAATTCTAGGGAAGGTAACTCCAGGAAAGGCAAGGCAAAGCAAGGCAATTCCAGGCAAGGCATTTCCAGGCAATGCAAGGCAAGGAAAGGCAAAAAGTTTCAGGCAAGGCAAAGCAAGGCAAGAAAAAAAAAGCAAGTGCAATCCAGGCAACTCAATTTCAGGGAAGGCAAGACAATTCCAGGGAAAGCAATTCAAGGCAAGGCAACACAATGCAAGGCAAGGCAATTCCAGGTGAGGAAAGTCAAGGCAAGGCAATTTGAAATGAGTCAATTTCAGTCATGGCAAGGCAAGACAAGGCAATTCCAGGCAAGGCTATTCCAGGAAAGTCAAGGCAGGGCAATTCCAGGCAAGGAAAAGCAAGGCAATTCCAGGCAAGCCAATTCCAGGTAAGGCAATGCAAGGCAATTCCAGGCAATTCAATTCTAGGCAAGGCAATTCTATGCAAGGCAAGGCAAGGCAAGGCCAGCCAAGGTAAGAGAAGGCAATGCCAGGCAAGGCAAGATAAGGCAAGGCAAGAGAAGGCAATGCCAGGCAAGGCAATGCCAGGCAAGGCAATGCAATCCCAGGAAAGGCAATCACAGGAAAGGCAATTTCAGGCAAGGCAAAGCAAGACAAGGCAGGGAAAGGAAATTCAAGGCAAGGCAATTGCAGGTATAACAAGGCAAGGTAATTCCATGGAAGGTAACTCCAGGCAAGGCAAGGCAATTCCAGGCAATGCAAAACAAGGAAAGGGAAAAAAATCCAGTCAAGGCAAGGAAGGCAAGGGAAGGCAAGTCCAATCCAGGCAACCCAATTTCAGGCAAGGCACAACAATTCCAGGAAAGGCAATTCAACTAAGGCAATACAACACAAGACAAAGCAATTCCAGGTGAGGAAAGTGAAGGCAAGGCAATTCGAAACGAGCCAATTTCAGTCATGGCAAGGCAAGACAAGGCAATTCCAGGCAAGGCTATTCCAGGAAAGGCAAGGCAGGGCAATTCCAGGCAAGAAAAAGCAAGGCAATGCAAGGCAATTTCAGGCAAGCCAATTCCAGGTAAGGCAAGGCAAGGATATTCCAGGCAAGTCAATTTGAGGCAAGGCAATTCTAGGCAATGCAATACAAGGCAAGAGAAGGCAATGCCAGGCAAGGCAAGGCAAGAGCAGCAATGCAATCCCAGGCAAGGCAATGCAATCCCAGGCAAGGCAATGCAATCCCAGGCAAGGCAATTACAGGAAAGGCAATTTCAGGCAAGGCAAGGCAAGACAACGTAGGGAAAGGAAATTCAATGCAAGGCAATTGCAGGTAAGGCAAGGCAAGGTAATTCCAGGGATGGTAACTCCAGGAAAGGCAAGGCAAGGCAATTCCAGGCAAGGTAATTCCAGGCAAGACAAGGCAAGCCTATTCCAGTCAAGGCAATTCCAGGCAATGCAAGGCAAGGAAAGGCAAAAAATTCCAGGCAAGGCAAGTTCAATCCAGGCAACTCCATTTCAGGCAAGGCAAGACAATTCCAGGGAAGACAATTCAAGGCAAGGCAAGGCAACACAATTCCAGGTAAGGCAACTCCAGGCAAGACAAGGCAAGACAAGGCAATTCCAGGTAAGGCAATTCTGGGAAAGGCAATTCCAGGCAAGGCAAGGCAAGATAATTCCAGGAAAGGCAAGACAAGGCAAGGCAAGGCAAGGGAAGGCAAGGAAGGGCAAGGCAAGAAAATTTCTGTCAAGTCAAGTCAATGTAAGACAGTTCCAGGCAAGTAAATTTTAGGCAAAGCTAGGCAAGGCAATTGCAAGCAAGGGAAATCCAGGCACAGCAGGCAAGGCAAGACAAGGCAATTCTAGGCACAGCAATTCTAGGCAAGGCAAGCCAAGGCAAGGCAATTCCAGACAGGGCAATTCCAGGCTTGGCAAAGCAAGGCAATGCAAGAAAATTCCCAGCAAGGCAAGAAAATTTTAGGCAAGGCAATTTCAGGCAAGGCAAGGCATGGCAATTCCAGGCAAGGAAATTCCGGGCAAGGCAAAACAAGGCAAGGCAGGCCAATTTCAGGCAAGGTAATTCGAGGTAAGAAAAGGCAAGGCAAAGCAGGGTAATTCCAGGCAAGGTCATTCGAGACAAGGCAAGGCAGGGAAATTCCAAGCAAGGAAATTCGAGGGAAGGCAAGGCAAGGCATAAAAAGGGCAATTCCAGCCAAGGCGTTTTCAGACAAGGCAAGGCAAGGCAAGGCAAGGCAATTTCAGTCAAGGCAATTCCAGGAAAGACAAGGAAAAACAATTCCAGGCAAGGCAAAGTAAGCCAAGGCAAAGTAAGGCAAGGCAGTGCAATTCTAGGCCAGGCAATTCCAGGCAAGGAAATTCCAGGCAATGCAAGGCAAGACATTTTCAGGCAAGGCAATTGCCCAAAAGGCAATTCCAGGCCAGGCAAGGCAAGACAAGGCAGGGAAAGGCAATTCCAAGCAAGGCAATTCTAGCTAAATCAAGGCAAGGCAATTCCAGCTAAATCAAGGCTAGGCAATTCCAGCAAGGCAATTTCAGTCAAGACAAGGCAAGGCAAGGCAAGGCAAGGCAAGGAAATTCCAGGGAAGACAAGGAAAAGCAAGGAGAGGCAAGGTCATTCCAGGCAAGGCAATTTCAGGCAAGGCAAGGCAATGCAATGCAACACAATTGCAAACAAGGAAATTTCAGACAAGACAAGGCTATTCCAGACAAGGTAATTTTAGACAAGGAAAAGAAAGGAAAGGAGAGGCAAGGTCATTCCAGGCAAGGCAATTTCAGGCGAGGCAAAGCAATGCAATGCAATGCCATTCCAAGCAAGAAAATACCAGGCAAGACAAGGCAAGGCAATTCCAGACAAGGTAATTCAAAAAAAAGCAAGGAAAGGCAATTCCAGGCAAGGCAATTCTAGATAAGGCAAGGTAAGGCAAGACAATGCAATCCTAAGCCAGGCGATTTCAGGCAAAACAAGGCAAGACAAAGCAAGGGAATCTGATTCTAGGCAAGGGAATAACAGGCAATGAAAGGCAAGGCAATGAAAGGCAAGGCAATTGCCAGAATGGCATTCCAGGCCAGGCAAGGCAAGAAAAGGCAGGGAAAGACAATTTCAGGCAAGGCAATACCCACTAAGGCAGGTCAAGGCAATTCAAGGCAACCCAATTCCAGTCAAGGCAAGACAAGGCAATTCTAGGCAAGGCAATTCAGGGCGAGTTGCCTTGCCTTTCCTGGAATTACCTTGTCTGGAATTGCCTTGCCTTGTCTTGCCTTGCCTTGCCTGGAATTGCCTTGCCTTGCCTGAAATCGCCTTGCCTGGAATGGCCATTTTTTGCCTTGTTTTGCCTTGCCTGGAATTGCCTTTCCTTTCCTTGTCTGAAATTACCTTGTCTGGAATTGCCTTGCCTTGTCTTGCCTGGAATTCTCTTTCTTGGAATTGCATTGTATTGCCTTGCCTTTCCTTGCCTGGAATGACCTTGCCTTTCCTTGCCTTTCCTTGCCTTGCCTGGAATTTCCTTGCTGGAATTTGTTTGCCTTGCCTTGCATTGCATTGCCTGGAATTTCCTTGCCTGGAATAGCCTTGCCTTCCCTTGCCTG